GTCAAAGAAATCAATTCGATGTGTTCAAGTAAGGATGAGAGAGACATTTTTATTAATGCTCGTGTTCTAGTGATTTACGTTTTCTTTTAGTTTATTTTAACAAAGCTTCAAAGTCTAATAAATTTTAACGGTCTAACTAATTTTAACATGCACTTTGCAGTGAATTTGATACGAAAGTAACATTCTGTGATAATAAAGCCCATTCAAAATGTTTATTGTTCATTGAGACCATAGGACGAATAAAAGTGATACAAAGGCAAAAGTTGACTAACGTGCCTTTTATAAACAGGCAATTGGAATGCTATGCCACGCAATTTTTAGACATTTAAAATGGGATAGTACTAACTGGTAAATATTTGTCTCTATTATTTGCACATCACATTTTCGCTACCAAGTTACAAAAATGTGATGCCTCATATTTTTAAAACTGACTGGTTTCTTACGAATTAATATAACAAATTGTTGAGACGTAATGATTAGGTTTGCGTATTACAATCAGGGCGCTCTCTCGGGCGGGCTGTCGCTGAAACGTAACGTAATTTATCAGCTCCACTCCGAATATGACGCGGTCCAAAGTGACGTTAACGCAATAAGGGTCAGTGATGGCCGACTGCGCAGGCAGTAAATGTCCCCGGCCTCAAGTTTGGAAACGCTCCGTAGCTATTCACATCCACGATATATACACAGTTTTATGTCCATAACACGCCAGTTACTTTGTTGTCCGATTTATGAACAAGGTGTTGGTGAGTGCACTTGCTAAGGTATTGGCGCCACGGGCCCTGGGTTCGATTCCGACAAGGGACAAGTGTTTTTGTGAACTACGGATAACTGTTCTGGGTTTGGGTTCTTTTTCTAAGCAGTGTTGACGGGCTGGTAGTGGTTAAAAACCGTGCCAAAACAACTTACAACGTGATTCAATTATTGTGCCGATTGAGGTGGAGTGAAGACAGGAGGACGATGATGATGATGACATGTTGGTGATTTAATTACATTCCGCAGAGATCTAGCGAACAAACCCAACTTCCTGTAAGTTGGGTTTGTTCACTGAGTTTCAGTTACATTTTAAGATGTATAATAAATATATCAAATTATGGTTAAAATGTGTTCTTCTTTTAAAATAGTTTTTGTGCTATTTTCTAATTTTCTTTTCTGTTAATAAACATGAAACCATTCGTTGAACACTCTAGATATGGTTCATTCATTATTAGTAACATCGGTGACTACAGTGTGAAAATATAACATACGGACGCACGGACGCATACGGACTTTCAAGAGTACCAATAACTTATAACGAGGTTTCATCCTCGGAAAAGAAACGCGATATTATATCGGTTTATTAAACTCATGGAAATAATATATAATTTTTATAACAGACCTAATGGATTTCATTTTACTACAGAAAAGAGACACTACGAAGAACAAAATTGCTAAGAAAGGAAGTAAATTATTAATCTCTACGCTCTTGAGTGTACTGAAACAAGAAAATCGTTCCATATTTTCTGCTTTTATATGCACACACGGGCATAATAGGCTCTTTGAACGGGATGCATTATTACATTGACAAGAACAGCATGTTTAGATTTTCCATGACTTGAGTACTTTGTATTTTTAAATAATGTAAGTCTCTACTTTGCAGTCGACATTGTTCCGTAATATGATATGAAGAAGCTTGGGTAACTAGATTGAGAAAGAAGTAGTCTTTTATCTCCCTGACTTATAAGGTAGAAAATAGGGAAATTGTTATAATAGAAGACAATTTGTATAAACAGTCTATATGCATGTACGAAAATGTAGTTTATTTACTTAAAATCAGTGATATGACATAATAAATTCATTTTGGCGAATTTTATGTTCCTCATAATAATTTCTTGTGCATCTTATTAAATAAGAATTCTTTCATGTGATAAAGTTGGCAATAATAGTAAGATATTTATCAATAATTTTAGCAATTTTTTTTGTTTAATTACGTTCAGTCTTTTCCCGTGAAACAAGGTAACATAATGAAATAAAAATAATAAAATTTTACACAATATATCTATTCATAGCCAATAATCATGCGCTCATGCACAGAAAAATAAACCAAATAAGTTTTTAGTGTAGCGATATTTCTATTTCAACAGTTTATATAATATATATCCATATGACTATAATTGATGACTATGACTATAAATTATAATTAAGAAACATTATTTTCACGTGCACGCGCGTCGGCATTCTGCGGTTAGTTAATGCGGCTATGGATAAGAGTTTTTAACAGAATAGCAAAGCAAGTGATACTAGGGATACAGAGGTCTCAACAGACACAACGGCCGAGTTGTTTTTACGGGACATCCCCGACGCGCGGGGGGGGGGGGGGGGGGGGTTTAGAATGAGCGCCCTTCGAGCGGCGGGAGGGGCGTGCGGGGGCAGGGGGGTGGGGGGTTTACACGGTGCCGTTTTCAATTTGCTTTATTTGCGCTTGTTTTAATAGCGCTCACTCTCCTTATTGCCGGCGCGGACGACCAGCCAAATTGCTTCGTGCCCGGGCGGCTTTTGATTAAGGAGGAACACGCGCAGCGGTGCCGGCGTAAAAACAAAGTGGCCCGTTGTTTGAGCAAGGAGTCGTGAGTGGCGACCGATCTTGGGGGACACATTAGTGGGCCACGCGAGAGTAGCCGCAAGGCGGGCCGTGTGAAATTGCGGCGGCGCTGGGATGCGGGACCAATCCATTACGATGTACACGCTGGGCGAGTGTGTTGAGAAATAACATTCATTTTAACAATCTACGTATGGTTGCGAATTGAATCAATGTTTAAAGTATACGACCATCGCGGGACGGATGTAAAACATCTAAATCGATGGTTACTTAAACATTTTTTTAAATTAAAAGCTAATGGATAAATATGTAAAGTAAAATTTATTAAATTCTGTAACTTAACCTGAAACTAAAAAACAAATATCAGATAGAAAACGGCAGCGACATGATAAAAGAACGCCAAATGCTGTCACAGCAAACGAATTGGTCATAACTCCAAGGCGCGGCGTAGAGTTTTCATATCAAATATTGACAAATATTATTAAAATATATCTAATAATCGTAATACTACGTACAAGTACGTAATTAAATTCAATAGCTAAAAACTCACTTTGCGCAGACACCAATTTGTGCAGCGAACAGACAAACACAAGATACCGCTGATATCGATGTATATAATTACATTTATCCATATCGATGAAAAATCTGAGACACACGAGTGCGTGCGCTCGAACATGTTTAAACAGCATTAGCGAGGCAAGTGGAGAGACGCGGCGTCGTTCGACGGTAAATAAAAGTTATGAACGTCACAAAAATAACGAGCTCAGAAAAAAAAACAATTCAATGACTCCGAGGCGCAGTTGGCAAGGTATTGGCATTAGGTTTGATTCCCATACGGGACAGTTAATTGTGTGAACCACAGATTATTGGTTCTTTGGGTGTTTCTCCAAGTGAAAATTAGGTATATAAAATACATAATTTTCACGTGTTAGTCTAAAGTAAGTTATAAACTACCATAGTTCATTTAAGTTGGCATGGGAGCCTTATTGTTATATATGTATATATTTTTTGTTATAGCGGCAACAGAAAAATATCATCTGTGAAAATTTCCCCTGTCTAACTATCACGGTTCATGATGTACAGCCTGGTGACAGACGAACAGACAAACAGACAGCGCAGTCTTAGTAAGGGTCCCGTTTTACCCTTTGGGTACGGAACCCTAAACACGGCGGGAGACTGACGCTCATTAGACGAACAAGTGAGGTTGGACGCACTGTTCACTGTCACGTCGACAGTGCAAACCGCAGAACCACGCTGCGCTTTGTGTACAATATTCGGATGAACCTAATTATCAGGTGCGTTTAATCGAATCCGATGCGTTAACGTCGATGCTCTGCGAATTAACGTATTTTCATTTCGCGAAGCCGCCGTGATGACAGCGGCCCGTCAGCCAATGCTTAGCTGGAAGCACGCCTATGGTGTTATCGAGAACATAATTAGTTTCGATAGGTTCGATGTCTGCTTATTAACCTCTATGTTGACGGAGGGTTACTTAGATGAAATTTATCAAAATTAATTTTCCAAACCCGAGTATTCATTGAGCTATTTGGAGGAGGCGTGCTACATTTATAATAGTTGTTTAGTATTCTACATAAAAATATACGTCCGTTTATCAGTTACGAGCGGATACGTTACCGTTTTAATGTTAATAGAAAGGTACCTGATCTACTAAAATAAAGGGGCTGATTTGTTTTAATCATATGTATTCTTATTTACGAAGGCAAGTTTTATTCTTTGAAGCCAGCCGATTGAGCTTAGCTTTCTCTATCAGCCAGTCAATGTCAGAATTTTAGACAAATAAATATAAGTAAAACCGAAAGAAATCTCGAAATAATTTATGAAATACCCGCTTTTTACACGCATAAGCGTATAGCATGCGTTTATTAAAAACGAAATTAATTAAAAATGTGATATGAAAACGTTGCAGCGTTGTCATATCGCTGTTACAAAAGTGACCTCACGCACTTTGATTGACCTAAATGATGATGACGGTAGAGCCGCCTCTCCAAAATACTAATTAATATCGCGCCGTCCACAACTGAGTACTTTTCAATAAACTGGCGCGGATCGAGTGCGCTAATTGGATGGTCGGGTTGCAGTTTAAAATGTAACCAAACATTAATAACCTAAAAGTCATTTTCGCTGGGCCGAAACGGGCCGCGGATAATAGTGCTTTTCTAAATGAAACACGTTGTTTTGTGTATAGCCTCTAGATTATGTGTCGACCTCATTTGTATGGTGTACGTTTACTAATAAAATACAATAGGTAGACTATAACTATCGTTTCCATTATGATAACGGACCTGATTAAGTTTAAAGTACAATCGTACTTTATCAATGATTATCACCAAATAAGTTTCTCATACCCAGTATTTCGAAAGACTAGAATAAAAAGGTTTAAATGATGAGATGAATGACGCCTTACCTCAGCCAGTGCCGCTTGGCGATGGCCGTGTGACAGCAGATGGCGTCATACTGGTCCGCAATCCATACGATTAGTATGATATAGAAAGCTGTTGTGGTGTCGTTGAAGAACTCCGACATTATAGCCTCCATGCCTGCGAACAAATGTTACGATCAGTGAAGTGCTAAGAAATCGATTGAAACGCCCAGTTTACATAGATAAATTTCATGATTGAACTACGATAATACTTCGTATTCGAAATCCCACATCATTTCAGACGCTTCAAATTATAACCGCTTTACGCGAGCCGACGGCGGCGAGCAGTCGCTTTAAGCGGCGCCCGTTCCGCCGGCGCTGCTGGGGCGTTAAATATCGCGGGTCGTGTGTGAGAGCGACACAGGAGACGGGTGCTCGGGTGTCGGGGTGTCGGACTAATTAGGTGACGGCAATTACCCGCTAACGACCGAAATCCGAGCGCGACACCCGCCGCCTTATTAACCGCATGCAACGGGCCACGGCGGCCGTCTTCGTTCGCCATTCGCCTCAGATGGTGCATAACGTAAATTTGTCGCCTACCGCTGCGGAAGAGAGCGTCCTATCCGACGGCGGGTACCTCCAATTTGTCGGTCGTAGTACACCGTGTGAGTTAAGTGTATTTCTTCTCGTGCAGTAACCGTAAATGTAGCAGCTTAATATGAAAGTTTACACTTTGAAATATTCCACTATAGGATGTTGGCAGCGATATCATTTAAATACCAAAATTAACTAGAAATGTGAATAGTTGGATCGAAATTGAGATTTTTTTTTTTATAATATACTATATCTACAATATGAAATCTAACTAAATTAGATATTATCTAATAAGTGTAGTCCACGCGGCATAGTGCCAAGAACGCTAGCTGCATATCCTCGCTGAATAGTTTTGCTTAACTTTTGAGCGAGAAAAGAACCAGCCTCTTTTCTTGGTTTAGTCGAATTTGAAAGAAAGACACAGTAATCACTAACTACATAGCATAGTATAAAACAAAGTCGTCCCGCTGTCTGTCGGTCCCTATGTATGCTTACATCTTTAAAACTACGCAACGGATCTTGATGCGTTTTTTTTTTTACTAGATAGTGATTCAAGAAGAAAGTTAATATGTATAATACATAAAACCCGTGCGAAGCCGGTAGTAACTAATAAAATAACAGGAGTAACTGAACATATTATAGTTTAATATTTTCCTTGAAACGAACTTCCCAGATATCCGTGATCCACTCGATGTAGCTAGGAAATTCACAGTGTGGAGGAGAATAACTCAATATAACACGAGCAACTGTCCGGCGCCGCGGTCCCGTCCTCATTTGCATTTTGATGAGGCTCGACAGTGATACAATAAATACGTTAGGCCGCTGACACACGTTGCGGTGCGGCTTTGGGGAAACCTAATTCTAAATAATTTTGTTGAATCCAGCAAAGCGATGGCGATGCAGCGTAAAATTTTCTACACTCCAGATACTACATCCAGCATAGTGGCATTCAAGAAAGCTCATCTAAATTTTGTTAGAAAGTCTTTGTGAAAAATCGCAGCTTTTTACGCAATAATCAATTCGATGCTTCTTGTAATTTATCTAAGTAACAAGAATCTATTCAAGGAAACGATACGTTTAAGAAATAATGCTCACGATACCAACGACGCAAAACTTATAACTTAAGCTAACATTGAAACACGGTCAGGCAACTTACTGGATATGATTTTAAAATGTTAGATTTATTACAATTTTTTTTAGCAGTAACCTTTTACTCCGAATATATTGTGCTTGAATAGGTGTTTGTGGGACCTATAGATAATTGTTACGGATCTAGGTGTTTGCCCGCGTTAAATTTTTTGTGAAACGTTCTTGCAGATCAGGATAATGTTATCCTATTCTATATCTTCTATATCCTAATGCTAGTAATAATTAAAATAGCAATAAATAAATTAAAAAAATATATGAGAAATGGTTATCCGTTCACGTCACGTTATGGACCAATCATGTGCTGAGCACCGAATGCGGCGCGATGATCACAGGGGCGTCCGACGCGTGTCGCGTAAGGCGGCAGCTGAAAAGTCACCGGCCGTTGCCGATTCAGCGGAGCGCGCGACGTAATCATGAGCGAGGCGAGTAAACAAATTACCGGGGCCGGCTCGGGCCTGTCCCGGCGTGCCGCCGCTATTAATTTTAATTCCGGGCACAAGACGAAGATCGCCCCGGACGGGCGGCAGGCACGCGCCCCAAAGCGCGCTCCCCGGTCCGAGCGCGGCGCTAAATCATTCCGGGATCAAGACGACTGCGCCGATGGAACCTTATCGATGTGACGCGAACTTAGATAAATAAAAGGTACAAACTAGAATCCATACTTTTTGACGATAACAAGTAAGCGGTCTACCTGATGTTGAGTGTTTACCACCGCCTATGTACAACACGTTAGGGTTGACAATCATGAAAAACAATAATATACATCGCTTAGCAAACAACACGCTTAATGTTTTTACGGTGGTACGGCACACTGCTGCGTGTGCCGTGCCACGGCTGTTGCACGAATGGGCAGGCTCGTCCGCGTAAGTACTACGACCTCACAGAAAACCGGCGGAAGTAAAATACTTTCGCGTTTCGTCTGGTGAATGAGGTGGTCGGAACCCAATTTTCAAAAGCTTGTCAACACATCTGGAACGGGCGTTGGTATTTACTTAACATCAGGTGAACCGTAAGCTCTTTTCACGTAAAAAAATGTATAATGCAACTATTCACATAAAAAAATTTCGTCTTCACGGCCTTACGTATATTATACCCCAGACGAGACTGCCCATTTGTGCACAATAGAAGTTTGTGTGAAACCCTAACACTAGCATAGTTATAAAAAGCTAGTAGCATGATTATTTTTCTCGTAATCAATTTTCATAATATATTTTTATAACTAAATCGTTACATTATAATTAGTTATAAATACAGGTTATTTTGATCAGAATTTATTTTGCAAATTTGATTACAATTAAATTATCAACTGCTCTAAATAGTACCTGTTTAATTTAATCCTTCTCTTAGTAAAGGAAATCCATAAAATATATTACAATAATACTATCAAAATTGTAAGTTTAATTTAAACAAAAAAGCATAAATATACCAGATCCATTTAAAGCGCCAACACGTCAACATGTGACTGGCAGGTGAACAATGTACCTAACTATTCTGACCGTTGAATGAATCGATCGTTGCTCTATTTAGAAGCTAAAATAAAAAATAAAGCAAAAGGGAGAAAAACAAACGCGAAACGCGGGCGTAACGGGAGATTTGCATAAAAATGAGGCAGCGCTGGCCAAGCGGACGTCGATAGGTAGATTTACGCAAGCGAGCGTGTCAACAGCAGCCAGTGGACTGTAGGTGGTCCGACGCCCGTCTATCCGCATCGCTGCAGTGGACGGATATGTTCCCGTACCGCGGACAGGCAACGATAAAAAGAACGGACATGTTTCAACGACCGGCGAAACTCGAGATAGTCGCCATGCTGAGAGACAACCTTCCGACGTTCCGCTATTGTATTATTCGGTGTGGGCACATAGGAGTTTTGAGAATTTCAACGTTGATGATTTTCGCTTTCATATAACGAGAAATATATTAAAATTATAGGTAATTTTAATATATTTCCCGTTAAATGATTCTAAACTTCGTGATAAATCTTGTGGTGTGATGAAACTTAATGTTTAATCACATTCAACGTATTTAGTAAGAGGGGTTCAATTATTGATATCCGTCTCTATTCATGAACAAACGAGTTTATCCATGACAAACATTAAACTCTAATAAATCCAGTCATACAACTGCTATCACCAAATCATAGTTAAGGGGCATAAAACGGAATAGTTCGCTACTGTTAAATTATATTACAAACACGTACGTATGAAAGAATGAAATCTACAATCCAAGAAACAGGCAGTAGTGTACTGGATTTTAACCCACTACAAACCCGTTCGCATCATTGCGAAAGGCCTCCTATACATGCGAATCATATTTGAAATTTTCACATCTAATGTTTCCACGCTCGGCATAATAACCGTGGAGGCGAAGAGGAATAAAAACAATAATAAAGTTTCTCGGCGTTAGAACGCAGTAAGCTCAAGAGCAATCCAAGTGGGACTGTACAGAGGTGAATAGAAGAATGCACACAAATTGTTACTTCTTACTTCCCGGGGTTTAATCAAGGGGGACACCCGCCGAGTCTGCCGGCGTCCGCGCGCTTCCCTGAACTTGGCGCAAATTGAGAATAATGGATCCGCTGCGACATTTTAGGGTTCTATGGAATAACCTCGGCGGCTGCGCTGCTTGCTCTTACAGGCGAAGGATGCAGCTTTCCTTTAATGAAATCTACCAGAGTCGCGTTTATGTAAGATCATGAAAACAGATCTGATAATGTTTTATTTGTATGAGAGAAATAGATATAAAGTGGATATGTACTTATGTATACTTGCAAGTTATAATTCGTTAGCATATCAAAACAAAAGTAACTTAAAATTTTATCCCCTATTCCAGTACTCGTTGTTTGTGGAAAAAATGACTTTAAATGAAATTGATAACGGTTTAATTAAATAACACACCCTCGTAGCAGCTTTTGCTGGTTAATGGGCGTGGTCTTCCGGGGAAGTACTAAAGAAACAATTTGAATTTTCAACTTTAATAGGCACGGGCAGCGGTAACTCAAACTAAATACATATCACTGAACACGTGTTCATAAAAATCATTGTTTATTAAAACTTTAATAACTTTACATTAAATGAAAATATAATAAAAGTTTTTTTTTTTTAGGTAGGAAACCATGTGTCTTGTCAATAAATCTCAGAAGAATTAAACGATATCTGCGTGTAAAACTGCAGACCTCTATAATTTAATTTATACAGATTTAAGTGCCGCAGTTGCTGAACGCACTAGGCCCAATGGATGAGGCTTGTTCGCTCTTGCCGTGGATCGCATCGAGTCTCGCCAACGTTTCGGCTGAACAGAGTCGTGCATCGGATATCCGTTTTACGAGCTCGTTAGTGCTGGTAATCGCGACGTTGCACGACCCGGATTACGCCTGTGCATTATTAGTGTTTTTATTGATTCACTCGGCTGCCGTCGTAAACTGAGATTATTATTCGC